TAGAAATAGGTTTATCAAGGATATGTCAGTAAAACAACTGAAAATGCATTGTTAAAATTTCATTCCTAAACTGCAAAATGCATAAAATAATTTGTGGATATGACAGCCTGGTCAGAGAGCGAGAAAACGAGGTAAGTTTTCTCACGGCGGACTTGTGAGACTTTTAGGGCGTTGTAGAGAAATGAGGATAGCTTGTTACTGCAAACAACCTGCAGGGGGTGTTTTTCTACTCTTTGTTTTTCTGTTCTCCTCAGGGATTGGTGTGAGAAAAGTGTTTTGTTAATTAGTCAATCAGGTAGAATGTATCCAGTCAGTCTATAAAAGAGGAGAGTTTTTTGCATTAAAGCGGTGGTTGTGCAGACCTGCCTTCTTGGAGTCTGTGCTGCTTTCTTTCTCAATAGCAACAAGAATTCATTACTTTGATTCTCTCAGAACAAGATACTGAGTGTGGATTAAAACATGACACATCTTAGGCCCCTTGCATCAGTGTCAGTGACACATCAGAATTTGGTTTCTCCTATTTTCTTAAAAACACTAGCAAGGAAATAAAAATCAACCAGACAGATCTAGGTTAACATTGTCTTCACAACTTGAAATGGCAGATCTGAGAAGCCTGGTCTTCCTCATAGATCTTGGTCAAGGTATGGGAAGGTATTGGCTGCAAAGGACTTTCATCTCTGGGACAGAGAGGCCCTAATACCATTCCAGAGGAGCAGGAGGCCTGTGATCTCACACTGCTGACAGAGGGGTAAGGACCTCTGTCGCTGTGTCCAGCACTTCAACCCGAGCCAGGAGGAGCGCGATACCATAGATCAGGCGAGCTACAAGGTCTCTACATAAAGAATCCCTGTATGTCTGCGCCTCTCACTTCAGTTCTCATAAATATAAGGAAATAGTGCTTTTTTGTGGGTCAAGAAGGTTGTCCAGAAATTATTATACTCCATTTTGTCTGAGTTTATTTCTTTTTTTAAATATTCCACTGTACATCAAAGGCTTTTGGAGTGCTTTGCAAAGACTAATGCATTATTAAGATAGCAAACCCCTACAGATCGGAGGATGCAAACAGAGAGAGGATAATGATTTGCTCAGGACTACATACTGTGTCAGTGGCAGAATTTGGAATACAGTTTCCGTGGTTTTAGCTGTGTCTCAGCTGATACCCATAGAACAGGGCAAAGTATCAATTCAAAATCAAATGCATGACTTGAAATGGGACACTGTGTTCTGCTTTTGGTCTGAGCAAACCTAAGAAATGAAGAATATTATAATGCTGTGGAACTGCAATACCATTCTTCAGTCTGCATACAAAAAGTTTCTCTGTTTCTGAACAGGTAAATGCTGGAAATAGCCAGATTTTGGATGTTAGAGCAAATCCTCTTCATCATCCAAAATACAGTATTCAAATATAAGGCAGCACAAAATCTCAGGCAGATTATTAGGTACTGTTCATGGAAAAGGACAGATTTTAAGGAACCAAGATAAAGGCAATGCTAAACATACCTTCAGCCTACCATAAGAAGACATGGTAATTTTAAAGTCTCAATTTCCATTCTGCATTTTAAAAACAAAACCCCCCATTTGTAGTTGAGAAGCCAAGTCCTTAGCTCCTTCATCTCATCTCCTTCTTCACGTTTATTCTGTACTGGCAGCTGTCCTGGGTTTCCACAGGGATACTAGGGATATTATGAACAGCCCAGCTGTGTCATGTCTTTTAGAGGGATCACAGTTCCATAGAACATTAATTAAGTCAACATTCTTGTCAGCAATTTTGTTTGAAGTTACTACAGCCCTCGTATTTTCTGTATTCACCTGCTTCAGCAAACAAATTTTTTAACCTCCAGAGTATGTTGGAGAATGAGCTGTTTCACTATTATAGCCTCAAGTTTTTGAGACTTATGCTGAATATTTCAATCCTTGGGGGCTTTCTTGCCCATCTTATTCACATTCTTAAAATATTCTTGCAAATATCCTTAAATATTTTTAAAGCCTAAATATATATATATAGTGCCTCCCCCAATCAGATTGTCTAATTAGTCTAATTGCTGTATAGTGTGGTATGTACAAGTACTCAAATTGGAATTTATGTTGACTGGCTAGTATAATCAATTTTGCCATTGCATGTAATTTTAGAATAAACCACATTTATTTCCCTTACACTAGATTCAGGAAATAAATTGTAGTTGAAACAGTAAGACTTTCCCAGACTTCTCTAATATTCAGTCTAAATGAATTTGGTATTTCAGATTCTTCTACCAGTTATAGCAGTTATGCTAGCCCAGTACATCAGAGAAAGTTTACAGGTTTTATTGCTGTTTCTGAGGGGCTGTTGGGAGGCAGAAGAAGTCTTTAAGCACAGATGGCCTACTAGATGCTGACAAAATTTAAGCAGTTTCTCCCAGGAGGACTCAGGACCAGTCCAATCATGTGGTGGGAGGCTTTGTTAGAACTACTGCCACTATTAGTATCAATGCACACCTGATGTTCAGAGCACAGACAAGGTTTAAAGGAGTGCCTGGGATTGCTGTCATGTTTCAAGCAGCAGGACTGGTGGGTATAGCCAAATTCTCTGATAATTTAAGGAAGCTTAAATGCAGTGAAGCCACTGCAGCAAATACCACACATATCTTTGGCTGTGTACATGATGTATCCAATCACATTGTACTTGCCTTCCATTTAACTAATAATTACACTTGCCCAGTGCAAGTGGGATAGGGTATAAATCAAAAGGCTTATAAACAAATGCAGGAGCAGGAAAGGAGTTCAGACCTGAAACTAGCTTTAAGAAAATTATTTATATTTGCTATGAATAAAAGGTCCAACTGTAATTTGAAATGGATTAACTAAAGAGCTATTTTAAGGTCAATGGACTGACAGTAATTTCTGGTGACAGTGAAATGCTTTCTCCATTCCAGCATTTAGTGCAGGCAGTATTCTAGTTATGGTAATCCAGATATGAGATTTTTAGAAAATGTAGAGTATAGGGAGGGCAGCTCTTTGGTGGTAGGAACAAATTACAGCTTTTAACTAGATTTTTTAAAAACACAACTTATTCACTAATACCCCACATATGATTTAGAGCTGAATTTGAGAGCAACTGACAGATCCACTGTGTGTTATTTCATGCAGATTTTGTACCCCAGGGAACAGTGTAATTGGTAGTTGAGAAGCTTCTTTTAGGATTTTAGTCTCCACCCTAGAAAACAGTGCAAGCCTGAGCAGGATCCAGCTATATTCAGAAGTAGAAATGAAACATAAAATACATGCCTAAAAAACCTGAATGTTAAGAGTTTCAACTTCCTGTGTTGGTGTTTTGAAGTTATTTCTGCTTTCTATGATGAATGTCCACAGATTTGGAAGAGACATGGTTACTGTTTCATTCTTCTGAATCAGGGCAAGAGCCTGACACAGGCAGGGAAAAAGCCTGTCAAATGTTGTAGCTTCAAAGTGGTGCCAGTTACTGTGGTTGTGAAATTGGGAAGCCATGTCAACAATTAAGCATGCTCTAGCTAATTGACAAGCCTGTTTACAAAACTAGAGTGGATACTCAAAATGGCACAAGAGTATGACAAGGATGATCACTTCCTTGCTACTGCAGAATTTCTGTCTATCTTGTCTTTCCTCCAGTTCATGAGAATAACAGCTCTCTTCCCACAGCTGTTGACTTCCAAATGGAAAGATGAGCCAAGCAGAAACTGTTCTGAGGAAGTTCTCACAATTTTTCTGAAATTATAGTGACCATGTTAAAACCTAACAAATCAATGAAGGGTGTTTTTGAGGGTGTGACTACAGGTTAATAATCTGGTAATGTGGCTGTTGCCAAGGAAACAGAAATTTAATTTTCTGTCTCATTTCAAACATGGACTTGAATTACTATTCTGTCTCTATGTTTAGTGAATAAATAATTGCATTATTTGCGAGACTTAATTAATATGGGCAGTTTACATGGGAAAGAGGGAAACTGCTGCAGCAGCCCTAATAAATTGGTGTTTACTGTGGAAGGTATAAATCCAGCATTTGCCAGTGTCTCTGCAATGCCTGGGCTCAGTCTCAGTTATCTATGTTGCAAAAAACACCAAAATTCTATAGTAGGAATGATAAGGCATTGTTTCACTGCCAAAGATCAAAGGAAGCCTTACAGAGGGAAGCTGAGGCATGTTCCCTCCGGATGTTAGCTAAAACATAGGGCAAAAATCCACTTTCTCCCTTGCTAGACAGAACTCTGATTTACAAGAGGGCCAATGCTCCTAGGTACTTGTGTTGCCCCAGTATTGTATGCCCTGGCAGTAGGACTGCTGGCTTTAAATGCTGGGGCTCTAAATGTCCTAAATAATCTTTTCACAGTAACTCTTCCCCAGCACTCCCAACAAAGAGAGGCATTAATATTCCACTGATAGTGTTCTTGATCCTGAATTTCTGTTCCATCTGATCCTTTGCTGGGCTTGCTAGTAGAAAGCACAGTCTAGACAAAAGAGGTCCCTTCTGATCCTTCCTACTGCCCTGAACACTAAGAATAGGACTGTAAGGTTTCTAAGAAACAAAGAAAATTCTAAGGAGGGCTTTAAATATCACCTCTGTGTATGATCCAAAACAGAACATTTAAGTGCATCAAACAGCCTTAATCTAGTCTAGCTTTGTATAACCTGGATGACTCTACAGCAGGCACACCTGCTCATTTCTCTACATATACTAATCTTTGATCTGCAAGTATTGGTTTTTTCCTTAAGTGAAAACTTTTTGAATGGTAGTCTTCTGTATATTCTCATAGAGAAGCAAGTTTCTGTCAGTATTAACACATTTTTCAAAATATTTATATTCATATATACTTATCTTCATATGTAGATTTTGCTCTAACAGTGACACTAACTAACCTGGAATAGTTTTAAACATTCAGAAAGTTTGCCTCAACAACCTTCATGAAATACAAATACAGTTTCTGAATATAACTGTTAAAATACAGGCAACAATTTAATATTGCAGATAACAGAATTTTTCTTCCTTAGGAAGACTATGATCGTCTGAGACCTTTATCTTACCCTATGACCGATGTCTTCCTTATCTGCTTCTCAGTGGTAAACCCTGCTTCATTTCAAAATGTGAAGGAAGAGTGGGTACCGGAGTTGAAGGAATATGCACCTAATGTTCCCTTTTTACTAGTAGGAACACAGGTATATTTGGTTCTGTTCTACCTTATTTAAACAATTAGGATCATTGTACAGTTCCTTTTCTTTGGGCTGGAAGTTGAGGTCCAACAGGACCTGAGCAGCAACTCCTCCTGCCTTTGAAGGAACAATCCTTACAGATGGCAGAAAAATAGATGTGTGTTGTTCTCCAATTATCTATCTCCATTTTGGTAAAAAAACCTATATCCATTTTAAATACGGTGGCTGGCAAGATGGGCTGCATGTCTCCCATGTGACTTTCTAAAAAGTCATGGGACTTACTGAATAAAAGTGTCTGCTCATGCCCATGTTACTGGAATTACTTGGGTTTACAACTATTAGTCACATGCAATATTTGCTGAAGCAAAGGAAAAGGGGAGAAGCGAGACAATTTCCTCTTGCTTCTTGTGGGTAGTGGACTGGGCTTTATTTATGAAGTGACCCACATGCTGGTGTTACCTTTGGGTTAATCTTTCTGCCACTGCATTTGGTATTCTAAGATGATCACATCTAATTGAAGTGCTGAGTTAAAGAATAGATGCTTCTTCCTTCTGGATTAAAGGCTCACAGCTTAACTTTGGGGTTTTTGAATCAGGAAGGGTCCACGATCTGAATCATGACGTGACTCCATTTTTACAGAGATAATATTCCATTGAATAATTCTCCTTTAAAAAGAGGGTATCATATTGCCTGCAGACTTTTGTTTAGAGAAAGTATTCCAACACGACTTCAATCTTTCTTGCTAGATTGATCTCCGTGATGACCCAAAAACTCTGGCAAGACTGAATGATATGAAAGAGAAGCCCGTATCTGTGGAGCAAGGACAGAAGTTAGCAAAAGAGGTAAACTGGATACTCCTAAATGAAACCAAGTAACAACAACAACAAAACACCCCTATTTCTACTTGACTTTGTCTTCCTTTACCACTTTTTGCATATCTTTTAGCAGATCACATATGAAATCTTATGACTGCTTACCAGTTAACAACACTTACTTACATTAACAAATATAGGTAAAAAGGAGACCTATGTAATTACACTTTCTTGTCAGCATTAGTTGTAATTTTCAGTGTAGACACTTATAAAAGTTATACAAGCTACATAAATATTAATCAAAGATAAAGAAAATCCACATACTGGTTGAGGTTGGAAGGGACCTCTCCAGCTCAAGCAAAATGTTGGAAGCATCTTTTAGACATTATCTGAGAATGTTATACTACCACTGTAACTACTGTGTGGATAATGCTTATCAGGACACTTACAGAACATTTATTTTTGAAACACAAATTAGTCATCTAATTTTTTTTTTGCTCTTTAATTATCAACCATATCTTAGGCTTCCACTGCCAATCTAAAGAACTTTTTTGTTTCCCATAAGAGACCAATCAACTTAAATACGTTCCAGATTTTTGGACAAAAGACAAATCTTATTTTCTCCTACAGGGGGGTACACATTCAGATAACTTTTTTAGATTGCAGCCAAACATTGCAATGTTGCTATGGGAGGGTGAAGTGGGGGGAAAAGCAGAAGTGCCCAGATGGAATTGAACAGCTGAGACATACTGCTATTGAATTAACTTATTTTCTTGACAGATAGGAGCCTACTGTTATGTGGAGTGTTCAGCTTTAACACAGAAAGGACTGAAGACTGTTTTTGATGAAGCTATTATAGCCATTCTAACTCCAAAGAAACACACAGTGAAGAAGAGAATAGGCTCAAGATGCATAAACTGCTGTTTGATCACGTGAGAAACATTTGACAATGGCCAGGCTTACTGTGAAATTCTACTGATTTTAAATACAATGCATTAAGTACATAGTGAATTCGTTCCAGGTTTGAAAGTTAAACCTACGTTTCTGCCTTCTACAACCAGTGAAATCCAGAGGAATAAAATCAAACTCAACAAACTTGTAATAAGAAGCCACCATATCTGTTACAAATATTTTATTCAGACTGGAAGGTACAATCTCTCAGGGTTACACAGTCTAGAGGAAGCAAAAACTGCACCATGCTGAAATGGCATCTATGTGATTTTACTGAATGGAGATGCTTGGCCTGAAATATTCTAACTGAATTTGGACAGTCTTCTGCTTTGACTATATATATATAGCTCTTAAAAAAAACCCAACTTTTGCACAGTCTGTATGGAATCTGCACAAAGAAATACCTTGTCTCTTTTTGCTCCAGTTATCTGCTTTTGTATGTAAGCTGCTTCCGGTTCCAGTGTATCCACAGAGGTGCAATAATCAGACCAGCCATATAGCCAAAGGTAGCTCCGAGGGAACAGGAAATGGGCCATACCTGAGGGGAGAACGCAAGGTAAAAGCAGACAATGAGGAAAATGTCTGTGGTTTTTTGTACTTCATGAGCACAAAGTCTAGGTACTGAAAGACAGCAGTCTTATTCTATTTTAAAGCTTGATGTGCTTTCCTATAAACACCAAAAGCGTAACAATCATCTTCATGAACACTAAATGCTGTTGTACAGTTTATAATTAATATGCATTAAAATGTAAGCAGGCTTCTGGCTATTGCAGACTTTAGTTTGATAGTCCAAAAACTATGTGGAAAAAAAAACCCTCAGAAGGATTTCTATTTCCTGATGCATTCAGCTGACCTAACTTCCTACTCTGCTGCACACATTTGGATACCTACAGATTTCTCAGCAATTTCTCCTTTCAATCTCTCATGGTGTTTTGAAACTTTTAGATGTGTATAGAGGAACTAGTATTCAAATAAGGCCAGCGACTGAGGTGGATAGAGGTTTGTTGGCTTTTTTTTTTTTTTTTTTCTGAAAAGTATGTAGAAGGATAAATTTCCCTTTAGCTAGCAGTAGGGAAGGAACACAAATTTGGAAGCTGACTGAACATCTTGCACCCAGGTCATCAAACTTGTAGTAAGCCAGTTATGTCAAAGAGAGCTTTAATTATATGCTCTATTTTCTAGTATACGAAAAGGAAGCCGACTCAATATATCTGACTCACTTTAACAAACCATCTTGTGTAATAAGCCAGAGTAGTAATGGAATTCTTCCCTGCCTTTTCTTTTTTTTCATTGGTATTGATTTGCAGGGAGGAGTGGCCAAACTAGTTTGTCATCAGATGTAGCTTATAATACCAGTCCACTCCATACTGCATTTGATGAAAGTCTCAACTAAGGTGGTAATTAATTTATTTATTTTAGAATAAACAGAATTCCCAGGCCTCTTTAAAATTCTCCTTTGCATTTCTTTTTCTTTTTTTTTGCAAGGACAGTTTTGCAGTTCCTGCTGTACAGTACATATTCCTAAAGCAAGGACGGACTGGACTCTCCTATTCTTTTGTTTTTTAAATTAAGGGGGATATTCCCCCCCGCCATAGTCTCACTTGAGACTGAGAAATGCACTAGACAAGAGAGGAAATATCCCAATCTCCAGCCTTGTTTTCTACTTCACTTTGACTTGCAATTCATGAATATCAAATGAACGTACTCTTAACGGTACTGGTTCCTCCTTTCATTCATTTTCCTAGCTCTGATTCTTCTCTTTACTTCATTATAACTTAAAAGAATATATTTATTCACATCCTTTGATCATGGGAATTTTAACTACGAATAAGAGTAATGTATTTTGTCCTCTGCTCTTTCATCTTCAATCTCCTCAGTTGTTTCATCTTCACATTCCTTAGCATTTACAGATTTATGTTATTTGGAGGTCTTAAGGAGTGTAGCAAAGATGATTATTAAACAAGGTGCCTTAGGTACTCTTTATTGACCTTGTTTCATTCTTTCACTTTCATGCATTCTGTCTCTGCTGCTTGTTTTTGTTGCTGAGTATTTCAGCAGTTGCCTCACAAGCCAAAGATTTGCTTGTTTTCATTCATTTACTGTGTATTGTAGATCATCTATAAAAAGCCTTGAGAGGCTTTGGCATGGTAAGTACTACATGTATTTGAAACTCACATAAGTTTGTGGCCTTGGCTAAACTTACACTTCAGGTGGATCTTTTCAACTTTTAAACGAAATGTAATTATTTCTAGCATTCTGCATATTACACATGTCTAAAGAACAATAAAAAAAATCCCTGAAACCTTTCCACTCACTCAGTAACATTCATATGGAACACAAGTCATACTTTTTTATCCACTGATGAAGTCAAATACCACTGTAATATCCACAAAAGTATGGACAACGGCTTCTTAATTCGGTGGTGCTTTTACATCATATTTGCTGAGTGATCAATGATCAATCTTTCATTCAATTTTTACCTACATTAGGTGAATTTGTAGTTGCCTATTTGCTTTCCAGAACTATGGTAGATGATGGACTCGGAATTGATCATATTCCCCTAACTAGAGAGCAAATATCTCTGATGACCCAATGACCCTGTATATTGTGCTATTTTGTGTATAGTGGGTGATTTATTGGTATGATTAAAAAGATCTCTGATGATTGTTGTAGCCTCTTTCACCTGACTGAACTGTAACTCGGGATGTGTTTTTTCAATAGCTATGTAACTTTTAATATTAGTTATGCCTCTGTCTGTCTTCTAAAACCTTCGATTTTTGCTTTGGTTTTTAAAAGTCTGTGTTACCTTACATAAGTTTCAGGCTCTCTCTCTTTAACAGTTGAATCTCTGACCTCTGAACACTCACAAATGGCAGGTGGAAAAGACAGGGAACAAAGGGAAGAAAACATAAAACATGCCATCTACCCATCTATGAATAAGACAGAAAGAGACACCACCTCATCCCTTCTAGTGGCATGGAACAGAGGGGTGCTAGGCTGGGCACTTATTCTTACTGTGCTGCTTGGACAGCCCAAAGTAGTTTTGAGGGCAGCTTGATTGGCCTTTTGAAAACTCCCTAAACACAGCAGTTACAAGCCTGGACTTAAGAGTGTTCCTGTCCTTCTACCATTTTCTCTGACCCTCAAGACTACCAGTTTTGCACCTTTTATTCTTGTCTGATGACTTTTAGGCTACATATAGCCTGAAGCACCCATGGGTATATCTAAAGCAGCAAGTTATCAAAGACAGATTAAGATATGGTTCTTAAGCACATCAGCTGCACTAAAATAACACCACTTTCACATGCTTTTGACTGTCTACAAAATGGGTTGCTTCTTTCTGTGGAAGTGGGTTGCTTTATTTTGCATTAGCTGCTGGCCTCATTTTTCTGAGACACAATCACTTTCTTCTGGACTTTTTTAAATGACTTTGACTTACTCAATTGGCCTGCTTTTGCCCTCTTTTTCATATTATCTCAAACTTGGTTTAAAGTCCTTGACTTGGTATGAACTGCCTGTAAGTGATAAAAATCTAAGCAGCAAATAGCTGTTTCAAGAGATTCCATTCTGCTTGCTTAAAATATGCAACTTGTAATACACCCCTCTCATCCCCTGAGAACTTTTCAGCTCAGTTTCTCCTACGCCATGCTCCCTTCTGCCTTGAGGAGGCTGACATGTCCTGCCCCAGTACTGATGTCATGTCTGGGCTGGGTCAGCAGCAGGGGAATAAGATGTTAGGCCACATGGCCTGGCTGCACTTTTGTTGAGGGGAAAAAATGGCCGATAAGGAGAAAAAAGTGTGGGGAGCGCAGGAGATAGAACAGAACATTTTTCATGAAACTGTCATTAAATGCCTTATCTGTCTCAGCAGATGGGACACATCAGCTACCATTCTCACAGTCTAACACAAGAAGAATCAGTTTGCATATCAAATGCATGATGAAAAGGGCAAATTTTAACAACCTGTATGTAGATGATTACTAGGAACCTGAACAGCAGCTTGGCAAAAACAAATTTTAACAAGAACAAAAAATGCTTTTTAATGGACAGAGCATGAGCCAGTGTTCAATGCAAAATTATTCTGATTTCTGCTATTCGTTGAAATTTTCTTTTTGCCTTTTCATCTGGCAGCAGTGTTAGGACTTCACAGGAATTTCTTTAGGCTAGCTAAATAGACACTGCAGAACTGCAAGGATTTTAGTATATACTAGAACTAATTTTAAGAATAATGACTCAAAATAGGAATTGCCAACCTTTCAGGACACAAATGAGCTAGTTTTCCTCAGTGCTCTTTAGGGCACCTAAGATTCTATGATGTCAGAATGCTTAGCATATTGCATGGAAAGCAGAGCATGCTGCAGGATCCCAGCAAGGTATTAGCTCTGCTGGACTGTGCATGTAACTAGCTAAACCAGAATTCTGACTGCATGACAGGTTTTTCATCTATTACCAGTCTTGCATCCCATGCAAGGGAATTACATAGACATTGATAAGGACATAAGGGCCAGATTCTTATAGACCAGAGGAGCAACACAAAGTTTTTAAAGATATTATGAAGTAAGCAGCTGCCTGCTGGAATTTTTATTATAAAAATGCAAATAGAGTGGGGCAATCTACTGTATTTACTTTTCAGTAAACTTAAGAGTGTTTTTCTCATATTCCTAAACATGATTTTTTGTATGCTTACTGTTTCAAAAGACTAATTTCTGACTGTCAATTAGAAGGCTATGTAATAATTTTTGTTTCATTTTAAAATTGAATAAATGAGCACAATTATTTTCCCTCCCTGTTTCTAACATGCCTTAAATTCCTGATTGTTTAGTCTGTACTGTCTTAAAAACTTCAGTACATGCCTTTAATCTATTTTGGTTGCATGCACATGTTAACTACAAGGATCTTATCACATTGTACAGAATGTGTGTGTTGACAAGCACACACCAAGAAGAAAGTGTGAGGTTTTTTTCAGGCTGGCATTTGTAACTAGAAGTTTGTTTAATGGATTTGTGTTCTAAAGTTATAGCAAGCACAACAGCCTTTGATCTCACCATAAAGGTTTACACTGAGAAAACATATTGCTAAATAAACAATGATAACCACACTAAAGTGGAACAAGCTTCTACCTCTGTTTCAAACAACTCCAACTGTGTATTATCCCTTCTCATATTAAGCAACTTATTTTATAACAGAACTTTCACAGTAGGTAGTAGACCTAAACAAATACAAGAAGGCAACTGAGCTGTTTTAAGAAGAACCAAAGTAGAATGAAAGTTCATAGTCCCATTTACTCACTTGAGTAAGCACCAAGAACTGTACCCAAGATTCTCTGGATTATTTTTCAGGCTACAAATGTCTGAGAGGTATCTAAGGCTAATATTTACAGTTATATAGGCCAAATTACATGGCAGTCAGTCAACTCAGGTGAGCTATATCAGCACTACCTATTATGCTTGCAGTAGCCACTATGAAGTAGGAATATAGCAATTTAACTTCTACCTAATGACAACACTGTAAGCAGAATATTGTTTCAAAGTAACTTTTTACCACTAGCAACAGATCAGATCAGAATTATACTACAAAAAAACCCCGGATGTATGGGAGGGCATGCACACAACAAACACAGAGACATGATTTAAAAGTCTGTTATCAAAACATGCAGTAAACCCAGGAACTCCCCAGTGAGCTAAATCCAGTTGTTGTCAGTGGCAAATGCTGTGTCTGGAATAATAGTTCCATCACATATCAAGTGTGCTGATAAAGTTGTGGTCTTTAACTATACCATGTTGTTCTGCAACTTTCCTCAAGCTGAGTAGACAAAGGATGTGCCTAGTAACTCCTACATCATCCCCTTCTGTTTCAGTGGTGGTGTGTTTAAGGTTCCACTTCTCAGTGACACATGAAGCCAGGATCCTGATCACATATGGTTATTAAAAGCACACCATCAGCTTGAAACAGGCAATCTGGAAAAACTAAGCAACTGTAACAAAGGAAGTGATTTTCTATTTCTTTGTAGAACTGTCCTAGCTAACTGTAACCCTTACATACCCATTGTGCTTGAGTGGCCTAGAGGCATCTAATGTGGATGTACAACTCTAAATTGTCTAGAATAGCCTTATTTAAATCATCACAATTAAGTGTTGAAAACTGTTTTAAAAATTGCTGAAAAATAAGGTAACAATCTCAAAACACTGGCAAAATTAGTCTACCAGTCTGACTGAAACATACCTGGCAGAACAAGTCCTGGAAAGTTTATTAAAAACAAAAAAAAACCACGAAACAACACAGAAATGTAACTACTGTAGCGCCTAACCTGCATTCCTGTAAGGCAATTATCTTTACCTTTGTCTGAGATAAGCTGAATTCTACAGATCTACAACTAGGAGTAACAACAGACTAGGCCTCCCTGACCAATTGTTTTATATAGTTAGAAAATCTTTCTTAAAGCTAGCAGAGGAATAACATAAATGGCATGCTTAAAAGTTGTTTTAAGAACAACAGCAGAATAATGAAAAAAAACCTGAATCATAGAACACAAACTGACTTTCAGCAATATATTTTATACTTCTAAGACAAATGCTTTATATAGTTTTCATCTCCATTCTCAAACATTCAAATAATTAATGTTAGTTTATTTCTGAAACAATGTTCCTTTTAAATAGTATTTACTTAGCATAGAAGTTGTTGTATGCCTTAAAAATGCAATTAACATTATTATTTTTAAGGGTAGAGAGGCACATAATCTGAATATCCCCTGTATGCAATATTTTTCAAACATAAACATGGAAAATAAAGTGAAGATTTTCTGAGACATCTGTATTTAACTCAGTTTTGCTGCATATCACAAGACGTATGTATAAAGAAGCAATGTTTCCCTTTGTAAATAAGGCAGGATGAACTAGCATTTGGACTTTAGTCATTAGCACATGAATTGGAACTCTTGTTATGAAAGTCATCCTCAGGTTTACTCCACAGAACTCTGAAGTACTCAGAAGTAAAAACAATTTCTAGTGAAAGACATAGGATGCTGACATCTGATTTCTGACCAGGTAAGATCCAGGTAATGGTATAAAAGACTTCTCAACTTCTACTGATACATCTCAACCACAGTGTAAAGCAATGACTACCAGGTAATTTTTCAGTTAAGTTTTCAGGAAAATATGCTAGACCCAAAACAGACTGCCAAGGGCAGGGAAACAGTAGCAGAAAATGAAACCGTTGTTGTTTTTTCTTTGAAGGACACAAAGCAGAAGAACTGTGGTAGGTATGAGCCTGGTAATTCAGACAAGTATCTTACAGAATGGTGCAGATAGCTTTATTTAATATTCTGCTGGGATTCCAGCATTCTCAGTACTCCCTCCAACCTCTTGTTTGCTTTAGGTGAGTGACTACAGACCATTTCCATTTGAAGCCATTTCTATGAACAAACCAGGACTTCACAGAAGCAGGTTTACATTCTCTCCTTTCTGAATGATTGGTCAATTTAAAAGTTGACTGCAGACACTCTTAAACTGTCTACAGTTTAGACACCAGATTTGATTAAGTGCTAAATCCCAATTAAGTGGAAAAATACGCCAATTCAAGACACAGTGACTTTTTCTGTGAACCTTGTCTCATATTATATTGTTCGAACAAAGCTAAATCAATAGCATTTTTCATCCCAAACTCACAGCACATTTCTGTACCAGCTGGATATCTTGTAGTTTTGACAACTTTTGACATTCCAGGGCTACCAACAGAGCCCAAGAGCAGCAGCAAAAACCCTTTGGTTTGCTTTATCACGTGATATTTCTCAATTATTGCTGATCCATCCAGTTCTTGTAGTACCAATTTCACCTTTTCTGTGACAATCTGCCAATAATGAATTGTCTGAAGTTACAGGTAGCAGTGCAGCTGTGTTTCCATTGCATACTGTTACATCACAAATACTAACTATAATTAATACAAACAGCAGAACTAGATTTTGAAATAAACAAGCTTAAAGGCCTTAACACTGCTCTCTAAAATAATAATACCACTTTAGTCTCCCCCCAAGTAATAAGATTTAAACCACATTTTCTGCTTTAAAGCAGAATCACTTTCACTACAGATAAAAAAAAAATTGTTTACAGCCCAAAGGCTAAAATACAAAAAGGAAAACTATCACTAATGAAACCTTTTTTTATCTCAAAAGCTGGTCTTGAGTTCAAAGACTAAGCTGTTCCATCTGAGTCCATTTTTGGATAGAAAAAGGGTAAATCCAAAACTGTAATCCTTAAGCTCTCTGGTTTTAGGCTAATACGAAAAACAGCTGACGTCAGAAGCACAGCTTAATACTTTACTCATGCAGATGCCTAGAAGTAATTTGGTTTTGACTGGGTTCTGATTACTTTTAAGTCTACATTAAGATCTACATGATTTCTTTCAGACCTTGCTTGGGACTTAATCTGTAGGTGTTTCCTTAAACATACCAGCTGAAGTTCTATGGAGTTCTATGCAAAACACTAGTAGTCTTTGTATTTGAAGGAGATTTAAAAATATTATTAATCCTGCAGCTGTATTACGTGCAGGTACTTTTATGTTCCATAAGTGGTTAGGTCAATCAGCACTAAAGATTTTCTTCCCAAACTAAACAGATCTGCAACAACAGCAGACTCTTTTATGAGGATGATTCTTCTTTCCCCTGTCTGAGGTTAAAGACAACACAGAAAGCACTTCTCTTTTATTGTTACAGTGAAAGAAGTTACTATGAGTTTCTGTAATCACCTGATATCAGGTATCAAAAGGAATTCTCTTGCCAAAAGGGGCTTTGTGGCAGTGCTCAGCGAACTTCTGAAGAACAGAAATGTCTCTTGCTTCTGAAGATTTCTGAGACAGCCATACAGCTACTACATGCAATACCTGGGTTGCTGAATCCATACTGTTCAGCAGGAATAGAAAGACAAAAGACATCAGCTGTTGCATGAAGTGGTGTTTCCCCAGAACATGATTCACAATCTATCTCAAATATCTGTTGCATGAAGTGGTGTTTCCCCAGAACATGATTCACAATCTATCTCAAATATCTCAATATATCTCTTAGCTGAGCTGGGCAAGCTGGGAAGCAGTGTTTCCTGGGCAAATACTGAAAATGCCTGGCCAGGGCACTACCCCCAGTTCTATGGTTTAGTGACCAATATTTAAGAGATGACTTTCAGAAAAATATTAGATTATTAACAGGTGATTGAAGACTTACGAGAGTTGTGGGCAGGATCCTTGACAAGCTATTTTAAAGAGGTTGATTTCTGCCTTGAAGATCTGTTACAATTTTGGTGCTTCGCTGTGTTGCTTTGCTGAAACAACTGGACTTGTAAAATCTACAGTACATTTTAACAAGAACTTCTTTCATCCTCCCTAATACAGCAGATCTTAAAAAAATAGCCCTTAAAACTGCAGTTTTCGAAGACTGTTGGAGTGGCAGCCTGCAGGACTGATAAGCAAACTCTCTGGCTGCTCTTGAACTGCCCACATCATTAAAGATCAAGCAGGTCAGACTCAAAGTGGAACAAAAAATTGTTTCTCCCATCCCACTATTTAAAACTCTAAAATGTGTAAGATGGAGAAGTGAGGATGGGAAAAATGAGGGGAAGGGAAAGAACAGCAGCAAATGCTCTAGATCTAGGCAAAAGATCTTTGATGTAGAACTTGAGTCATAAAACCTCCCTTGCTAACTTCAGTATCAGAAGTATGTCAGAAATGAGGGTGGAGATGGTGAAGGAAAAGGGAAATTACAGACATACAGGGAGCACTGGGGAGCATTCACACCCAGAAAAAGCCAGTGACAAGTCTGGATATCTGAAGTTTCTGCAGATACTTTGCTGTTCTGAGGAGTCATATAATAACATTTTAGATATTTAAGTGTAGATTATAGAGCTAAATTTTCAGTCATGTTTGGCTTTTAGTAATTTGGAAGAGTTTTCAACTTCTATTAACTTGGAAGAGTTTTCAAACAGCAAGTTTTCAGACCATTATCAAACTTGTGTCTCCCACTACTGGAACATGTGGGAATGGACCAAAAGCTAAAAATTACTCTACCTAAAGTATCTGTCTTCAGCTATTAGTGTCTTTGTTTTGTTAATCAGAACC